TTTTCCTGAATTTGGAAACGAATAATCTATTTTTAGTTTTTTGAGGAACCTCCATACTGTTCTCCATAGTGGTTGCACTAATTTACATTCCCACCAACAGCATATGAGGATTCCGTTTGTCTACATCCTCATTCATTATAGCCTGTCTTTTTGATAAAAGCCATTTTAACTGGGGTGAGATGATAATCTCATTGTAGTTTTTTTTTTTTTTTTGAGACAGAGTCTCACTGTGTTGCCCTGGCTAGAGTGCCATGGCGTCAGGCTAGCTCACAGCAACCTCAAACTCCTGGGCTCAAGCGATCCTCCTGCCTCAGCCTCCCGAGTAGCTGGGACTACAGGCATGCGCCACCATGCCTGGCTAATTTTTTCTATATATTTTTAGTTGTCCAATTAATTTCTTTCTAATTTTAGTAGAGACAGGGTCTCGCTCTTGCTCAGGCTGGTTTCGAACTCCTGGGCTAAAACAATCCGCCCGCCTCGGCCTCCCAGAGAGCTAGGATTACAGGCGTGAGCCACCGCGCCCGGCCTCATTGTAGTTTTGATTTGCATTTCTCTAATTAATTTCTTTCTAATTTTAGTAGAGACAGGGTCTCGCTCTTGCTCAGGCTGGTTTCGAACTCCTGGGCTAAAACAATCCGCCCACCTCAGCCTCCCAGAGAGCTAGGATTACAGGCGTCAGCCACCGCACCCGGCCTCATTGTAGTTTTGATTTGCATTTCTCTAATGACTAATTATATTGAACGTTTTTTCATATACCTGTTGGCCATCTGTATGTCTTCTTTTGAGAAATGTCTATTCAGATCCTTTGCCCATTTTAAAATCAGATTATTTGATTTTTTCCTGTTGAGTTATTGGAGCCCCTATATATTCTAATTATTAATCCCTTGTAAGATGGGTAGTTTGCAAATATTTTTTCCCATTCTGTGGGTTGTCTCTTCATTTGATTGTTTCCTTTGCCATGGAGAAGCTTTTTAGATTGGTGTGATCCCATTTGTCCAATTTTGCTTTTTCATCCTTGCATTTTCAACCTGTTTGTGTCTTTGGATCCAAGCTGAGTCTCTTATAGACATCATATAATTGGATCATGTTTTCTTAAATCCATTTTGCCAATCTCTGCCTTTTGATTGAAGAATTTAATCTCTTTACATTTAAACTAATTGCTGATAAGGAAAGACTTCTGCCATTTTGCTCTTTGTTTTCTGTATGTCTTATACCTTTTTTTCCTTCATTATTGTCTTCTTTTGTGTTTAATTGATTTTCTCGTGTACTGTTTTTTAATGCCTCTTCATTTACTTTTCTGTATATTTTTAAGTTATTTTCTTAGTGGTTACCCTGCAGGTTATATTTCATATCTTAAATTTATAACAAACTGTTTGAATTCATACCAATTTAGCTTCAATGGTATACAAAACCCCAGCTTTTTTTATTTTTATTTTTATTTTTTTTGAGACAGAGTCATGCTCTGCTGCCCGGACTAGAGTGCCATGGCGTCAGCCTAGCTCACAGCAACCTCACTCAGACTCCTGGGCTCAAGCGATCCTTCTGCCTCAGCCTCCCAAGTAGCTGGGACTACAGGCATGCGCCACCATGCC